AGTTTTCACAATCTATAAGATTGGTTATAACGATAAAATCTTTTCAACACGTCAGCGTATATCTTCAAAGAGAAAATGAAACAATCCAGAACCGATCCCTGATTGGTTGAAATAAGGGATTGATAATTAGCGGCTCACCAATAGCAGATAAAGAAAATTGATCATACTGATAAGCTGATGCACGATGAACAGAACAGCGATGCTCTCATTAGTAATTCATCATTCGTTCGACGAGTTCATCTGTGATCAGTTCCTTTTATTATACTACTATTTGAGTTCAATTGTAATCAACATCAAGACTCTTGATTAGCTTATTATATTTCTGGTATGTATTCTATATAGTCATCAGCACTACACTGAATATTTGTATTTATTTAAGGTCTTGGCTAGTGATCACGTTGACACTTCTAATATATTACGTACATTCCTAATCTGAGGTAAGTATAATCTATAATACGATGTAAACCGATCCGTTGTGGACACCGAGCCGTTTTGGCATCTTTTTATTAATCTTTGTGTGTGTGAGTGTAAATAATATAAGCCATTCTGCTCATGTGAAAATTTTTCACTTCTAAACGCGTCCAAAAACGCGTGCCTATCGCATTTAAAATTCGTGTAAAAGCGTTTATCAGAGGAAAATGTGTGGATTTGGACGCACTTTTGTCGAAGAAAAGCTATAAACGCATCTAAAATGAAATATCTGATGTGTGCAGATGCATTCCAAACGAAAAGTGGGATGAAACACAGCTACACGCGTCAGATGTTCCATTTTAGATGCATTCAAATGCGTTGGCTCTGCGTTTCGTATTTCCATGGGTATAGCATAAGTGTCCTATTTTGTTAATTTTTATCATCTAATTATTTTACAAATTGTAATTTCACTTTAGTGATCCTATATGAATTATTAAACTATATTGTAAGTCGATAACATTCAATAGGTGAATATGTAACAGTGACCTGCTACATTTTTTATTAGACTTTTCTCATAGATATTTTATTTCATCGTTACGATCATTTTATCTTTCAATCGTCTATTCTTCTAAATTTCATCGAAAATACTTTATCGATAATAATCAACTGATTAGTTTTAACTTTTGTTCAAACTTTAAATTTATTGAAATGCTTGCGTTTGATTTTAGTAAATTCTAATATGGAGCATAGATTGGTTTTAAATAATCGAACTGACACTGAGATAACTGACCAAGATATGTATGGCATATTTCATCAACGTTTAAAATATTTTAAATTCCGTCGTGTTCCAACAAAGACAGGCAAAGCAATTTTCTACCTTTTTTTTCATAAAGAAGAAGATACATACACTGCTCTTCGAGCAGCTAAGGCGATTAAAGAGATATCGCTCGTTAGATACCGTCCAACGAATCCTATTGATGACGAGCTACCGTTTCGACCATTTCCACCAAAACGTATAATCAATATTTGTCGCTACGCATTCAGAAGATATCTGAATAGATTTGACACTGTGGTAAGAAGACAGACTTTTTTTTTATCCACATAAAACAATATTTTTTCGTGTAGCTCCTCTTCAAAATATTTATTCGTCGTCTGTCAGAACAAATAATGGCACAGCATATAAAAATTCCTAATGGTTTGTTTTTTTCTATTTTTCACAGATGGATCTGAATTATTTCTGTTTTTTTTCTCATTGTAGTATATGAACGAGTTGATAAACTACACACGTGGTGGTGGATGAACGAACTATTTTCAGTCAAAGACGATTATTCTGTACAAAAACTTTTAGATGTGTTTTTCAGTTAGACTCTTTTCTATCTTATTAAGTTACTTATTACTGTATTAAACTATTGAGCATGATTTTATTCGTTTGATTTGCGCTGTTGATAAGCGATGATGTCTTTTGTACGAGTGTTTTATATATGGTAAAAGTGTGATTGTATTGTACTTTGATATGTTCTACTAATTAAATATAGCTTTATAGTGAAAACATACGATAAATAAATTATTGGTCAATTAGTGTAACTGTCTAAATAATATTTTAATATATGGTAAAAACACTACTTTAAATAAAAGTAAAAGTGATCGTTTTTTCTTTAGAATGATTTAAAAAAATCTCGACTATGTCAGAGTTTTGGCAATGCCGTTCGTGCTAATTACAGTTGTCGATTCTTTCATTTTCAAATTTTCGGCTGTCAGGTGTGTTTATATGATCACAAGAGATAATTATCAGAGATAAAAAAAAAGGCATTAGTTTCTCTTCTTAGAAAAGGTGGTAACGTTTTGTTGTTTTATCTTTAACCGTTTAATATAAATATATGCTTCGTTTATGAATAAGCTGCACATTGACTTTTCAATTATCATTTCAGTTATAATCTCATCTGAGTAGGTTGCCTGGTAGTAAATAATTGATACGGAGTTTGTATGTATAGTCAACAATTCCACTGATGATTAGTTACTGAGAAACTCTGCTGAATCCCTCCATGAACTTCTTCTTTGTATCCACTCTTCATGTCTATTTTTAGATACCAACAAACACGTACTTGGATTACAGAGAAAATAAAATTTTCCAAATGTCTCAACGTAAACCTATTATGATCAATACTAATCAGGTATCAGTATCAAAATCTTTTCTTTCGTTAATTAACACATGCGTATAACTATAGTTGAACAATCCAATATATATTACAATACCAATGCCAAAGATTATCTTCCAAATGCCATCTATTAGAATGATGCTTGCACATGAATTTGGCAATGAACATCGTAGTGGTTCAAACAACAGATGCATTCATTGTGCTCATCTACAATGCAAAGAAGGTGAAGTTGAAGAAGACGATATTGAAGTAGTAGTTGACGAAAAAGACATGATAAAAGAAGAAATTGAAGTCGAAGAAATTAAACAAGAAGAAATTAGAGAAAAAAATGATTTTTCAATATCCTCTTAACGAACAACATGATTCTAACAAATATATACTTCCTCACTATGTAAATGTTAATGAATCGCCGTTGCCACCTTTATTGGAAGCGACAATAAAAGATGAAATCTATGACTGGAAA